CCACGTAGACACTATGTGTGCTTGCCATTTTACACTTAGCTGTTGGGACTTTCAAAATGGGGATTAGTGGGCGTCCCTCAGCACCAAAATTGTCTTGTAAGTTACTCCTGAGGATAACGCAGATCACGTCGAAACATGTACTTGTAGAGAGATATTTTAAAGTGGAAGCCATAGGGCTTCAATAAAGTTTTTATTGTGTAAATACAAAACGTTGGCCCCCCAGTGGCACAGCGGTATGTCTGCGGACTTACAACGCTAGAAACCGGGTTTCGATACCCGTGGTGGGCAGAGCACAGATAGCCCTTGTGTAGCTTTGTGCATAATTAAAAACAAACAAACAAACAAACAAAACGTTGTTTTTAATTATTTATTATAAGCTCTTCCATCATCTGAGTGATTACATGGGGAAATGTTCTTAAATTACCACACATGTTAAAGAGAAGAAAACTTAATTTACCGTTACTTCTCGGAGGAAAAACTGGATGATATAATTTATTCAGGGCTACAATTTTGCACTTAATGAAACCAGAATAATTAGGTACATTTGAAAAATTTGTTGTGATGTATTTGAAATGACCAACCAGATATTTACAATACCTATTTGTTCATGGATATGGAGATATAAAATCAATGCACTTGATCTTTTCGTATTCCTTCACATCATACAAAAGTCTAGTAGTGTTGACTCTACTGCCATAGAAACTGTCTCATATATCCAGGTGAGGAACTGCTGTGTGGCCTTTAAGGAAACTAATTAAATTTGTCTTGGTGGATTTCATATGATTAATACCATGTTCCCAGATTGCAACATCCTTATATCTCTGAGCTTCTAGTTTATGTTGCCTGTCTAGTGTACATTTTCTAACAGGCAACATTGGTCTACTTAGAATAACGTTCATTGTGTCAGGATCGTAACATAAAGTACACCCATTATAGAAACACCTGTAAAATTCATATATAGTGTTATGCTCCTTGCAGAAGCCGACAATGCTATAATTTAAGATTTTAACCTCGCCACTGTTAAAGCAAGTTGGATTTTTTTAACACTTAGAGACTGTTGCATGTAGTCTAACCACTACATACTTACCTGATTATAGTTGTTAGTTGCATTGTTTGTATCCATGGTATAAACTTGCTTCTGTATATGGCCATGCATACAGAAGCAATATTCGTGTAGATTAAGGGCTCAATACTGCAGGTGGGAGAAATTCATCTCTGAACTGAAGACAGTACCAACAGAGTATGTCAATGTCTGATCAACAAAACCTAATGACATAAAATAAAAATATATTTACTTTCTATAATAATGAATGACTTTTCATACATTATTAAATAAAGTGTGACAAGCATTAATATTGTCATATATTAACTCAATAATAAGACTATCAAGAATGATGTATTTTACCAGTACATCTCATCTTAAAATTCAAAGATGTACCTTTCCTTTCAGTGCTGTTAGTGACAGTCCAGGAATATTTCTCTTACAAGTGCTGCCATGGTGTCAGGTGAATATAAACTCATTTTGGGAATTGAGTCTTAATACTTTTCGTTTAACCCTCTGTTAAACAGATAAGGAAGATATCCCTTCTCTAACTCGGTTAAGCCAAAAATATTTAGGGAATGATGTTAATTCCATGGGGATATAGTTGAAACTGTCTATAACCCTAATTTAAGGGGTTTCATAGTCATGACCATTATCTTTCCACCATTAACAATAACATCAGGTTTTATCCATTCATGAGTTTAGAG